AATATTTATACTGCTGGAAAGATCACCTGGCTCTGGATGCAAACAAGAGGAAATCAATAAAACAATGTAGTCATGTTGGATCAGAGTGTGATAATGAGAAAATGACTGAAAACCACCAACCAGGGCAGCTGCACCTCAACAAAGTCAGTGTCTGGTGCTAACGTCCTCTGTGAACTCATACAGGCAAGAGGGTGAGCTGCTTTCTGTCTAGGATTTACTTCTAAACAGCTGGTTTAACAGTGATAACTACTTAGAAGGTGAGTAAGTGCAACTGTGATTGTACTGTACATACATAAACCTCCTTGTATTGTATGTTAGTGTGCATTAAAAGTGTCTCCAAGATGCACTACTATTAATAATTCAGCAGTTGCAAGTAGTTACCAAAGCCTCCAACAAAAGTCTCATGCAGAAAATAAGACGACGTTGCTCAACTCGAAAGATCGAGATCCATTAAGATACAGGCGGCGTCCGCTTATATCTTTGTGGGTGATAATTTTCAGAGCTTGTAGAACATTAATCATTAGTGTGGTTGTGCTGAATTGTGTCACTAACAGACTAGTGCCTGCCACATTCACAAACATGCCCTGGTTTGAATATGAATATATAAAAAGAAACAGGTGTGGTTTATTTCTCTTGCATCCGCAGTGACATCTCAATGACGCTAATATTCCAGGCATGTTAGGCATGAAGCTCTTTTATAACAGTAGCACAGCCGCTCAATGTGATACATCAGTCTGTGTTTAAACACGGTAAATCACCAGCCATCTCTCCTATCTTAGAGTCTAGGCAGACCATGAATCAGTTAAGGGCGTGTTGACATCATGCCACCACGAGGGGATGAAAGAGGAAGGAAAACACCACACTAACGTGAGTCAAACCGGTTTAAAAAAAAGACAAACAAAAAAACTACTATACTCCGGTTATGTTAAAGTAAGATGGGAAAAGCAGAAATCAAAAATCTATTGTATTTATTAAATGTCCACAACTTATCCATTTTGTTAGGTTGTAATCGAATTGTGCCTTTTTGTTTACTTCATTCTTTTAGAAAGACCAAGGCCTTTTTTCAGTGACTCCTGTTTACCAAAAGCAACAACTTATTTTGCTGAATGGTTAAAATGACAACGCCTATTTTGGATCAGTGATCACAAGCACTTATATTTATCTGGGAAAATTTCTATTAGTTTGTAAAGTTTTTGGCTTATATAAAGCAGAAAATGTGTTTTTGGTTATTGGTTTGTCTTATTTTATTTGTATGAGCTACTTTTATGTGCACAGATTTGATCTTCCATTATTCAACTAGTGGTTTCAGTAGTAGGGGACTGTTCCTTTGCTGAAGCGCCTGCAGATAAGCCTCATGCAGTCAACACACAAACAAAATCCAGTATCACCCATAGCTGTCTGTGTTACAGCTGCCACAATGATCACAGAATAGCCTCTAAAGCAACAATCAGTCATTCTACAGTCACACTGAGCTGCCCCGTCCCATCCAGGATCCTGCCTTGTAGGCAAAATTCCACAAGATCCTTTCCTACCCAAAAGACATTCCAGCTCCCACCTACCCCACCCAACATCTGACCCCATCCTCTTGCAGTTACAGCGGTGGACTTGCGGTATGAAGATGCTGCACAGCCTCAGAGCTGGAACTTAAGACCGTTACTGGGTTCAACAGCCCACTGGTGGGCAAGAAAAGCATGTCACAGAGCGGGAGAGAGGCCTACTTGTATCAAGTGCCCGACATGCCAGTTGGTGCCTGGCTCCGCGGCAAGGGCTCCAGGCGTCTAAACATTTCCACTGGATCAAAGAAGCCTCTGCACAGACATACAGTGCTTAAATGTTAAAGTCGGTGCAGTGGAGAGGCACACACAATGAGATTCCTATCGGTTTGTCCCTGTCCCGCTCGGGGCAGCTCCCCTGATTGCATCCTTTGAAAAAAAAAAAAAAAAAGGAAACGCCATGGGACCGATCTTTTGGTCGTTACCTAGCAACAGGTGGTAAGAAAGATACTGGGCCGGCTTGAAGGATGAGAGGAGAGGCTACTCAAGAGACAAAACCACTGTTCTTCTTCATGAATTATCCCAGTGCTGAATAGAATAATACTGACCTGAGGACTCGCATGAATACCAATTGGTACTTGAGGCTTGGTCATGGAAATTTAATGACATCACTTCTGAATGTGGCCCGAGCATGAGCGAGTCTGTAGTTGGCAGAGCATCAAGCAGTGTCCTGATAGCGAACACTATCAGAGTGATGCCAAATCCAATGGAAAATAGTTGAGGGGGAAATAATGCAAACACTAGCAGCAGATAAATTATACATCAATATCTGTGAAGATGAAGTGGGTTAAATACTTACTGACGTGCAACGGGAATCTTGAAATTTAACATGTCAGGTTTGTGGACTTTTAATCGCCTACCTTTTATCCTCGCTCTCTGTTAACACTTTGTGATTTGCTTTGTCAGCTGTCTCAGCTTAAAAGAATAGTTAAATATTTTGGAATATGTGTTTATTTCACTTTAATTCTGAGCGATAGATACCCCTCTTATATCTGTCCATCAAATATGAACCTGCCACCAGCAGTCTGGTATCTTAGCTTAAGATAAGGAAACAGCTGGCCTGGCTCTGTCCAAAAAAGGTAAAAGAAATACGATCCAACAACCCTCTAAAGCTCATTAATTAACTCGACATGTCGCATTAGTTTAAATCAGATAAAACCAAAAGTGTAAAAACAACAGTTTATGGTTTTACAGGGGTTGTGTGTGGGAATGTTTCTTGGCTCGGTGGGACCATCAGTTTGGTACAGACTGAACTGATGGTACATCAACTATTGGGTGGATTGCCATGAAATTTTGTTCAGACATTCATGTTTAACTAAAGATGAACTTTAATAACTTTGGTGACCCCGCTGACCTTTCATCTAGCGCCATCATCAGGTCAAAATGAGTGTTTGTCCAACACATTCCCAACAGCCTCACCTGTACTTTGTGTTTAGTGCTAATTAGCAAAGGTTAGCATGCTAGGATGCTAAAGTAATTGCCATGCTGGTGTTAGCATTTAGCTCAATTACTCTCTTCTCGTTCGTCTTTGTCAGGCTGACGAGTGCCTGCTCTGAATACGTATGCAGGTTAAGAGGAACGCTTCTTTTCTTCCTTAAAAGCCAAAGCAGAGAAGGAATGTGCATTTAGAAAAGAATAAAGGAAAAAAAAAAAAAAGGATAACATCCTCTCTCCGTCGCCCACACTTATGCTGCTCATAAATTACAGGGTGCTGTTAACCGGCACCTTTACAGTACATGTTTGTGTCAGAGTGAACTAATTACACGGTGAGAGGGATGCTCTATGAATCCTGGATGGCCGGAGCATGAAGCTTACCTCGACAGAAGTAGGGGGAAATAAAGGAAAAAGGCACAAAAATAAAAAGGAAAGTCTAAATTAAAGGACAAATCATCAGACTGCTGCTCGGCTGCTATTACAGCAGTGAGTAGAATAATGAATGCAGTACCGAGGTTCAATGGGAGCGGTAAAAATAGATGCTATTAGAGGGAGACAGAGAAAGGGAAAGGGGAATACAGCGAAAGTGTGATTTTCTTAGGTGTTCTGACAGTTTGAGGCCAACAACAGCCGAGCAGAGCAGCAGCTGCGGCAGCTGCTTCTGAGCGCGTCAATACACACACAGTGTCGATGCCTCAGCCCTTATTAAGTCCAACATATAGTTTGGAGGGTTTTTTTTGTTGAGTCATGCTTTGCTGCTTGGCCCTGATACAGCTGATGCCACATATTTGGAGCCTCCTCCTCCTCCACCACCTTCTCTTCCTCGGATCTCTCTGGCCTCCATCCTTTTCCCCTCACCTCCTGCCTTCATTATCCACCTTCCTCATTCTCACCTTCCTCCCTTCTGCACAAACACACCAGATATCTTCAATCAGGTAGCTTCAAGTTCACTTAACCTTTTAGTATTCTTCTTCAGACTCCTCTCACTTTGCTCTCTGACTCTTTGCGTCTCTCAGCTGAAGGCTCAAAGATGAATTATTGGACTCTTCTGGGGTCATTAAGTTTGCGTCACCATGGCAACAGCAGCTGCTGCTGTAATTTCACAGGCAAATGTTCTATTGCTCCATAAACTCACTTACAACTGCAATGCCATTTGAACAGCCCTGGTTTTGAATGATGATTTGAATCAACAGCCCACTAGTCAAAATGTCTAAATATACCAAATGTCACGTGGTTGGAGGGCCTGAGAGGTGCTGCTGTAATTATTTAATAGAGGCACTTTGTCAAATGGCTCCCTTTTTGGCTGCTTCTCCACATTAATTGCCTGCTGTGCTTCAAATTATTACCAATTAGCCTACAGCCAACATTGGCACTGCCAGAGTGTTTTAGCTTTTTTACAATTGTCGTTTTGTTCAAACTACAGAAAGTATGGTGGAAAATGTAATGCCACTAGGGTATCGTCATATACCGGAACATCGGCCGACGCCTGCACTCGCAAGGCCCATAAACATGTGTAAGACACATCTGCAGGCAGGTGTGGCTGCTGTGGAACAATGTTAGTGCTCCTCCTGAGTTTTGGGATGGTGGTGAAAAAAAAAAGAGTCTCATGTATCCTGCTGTAAACCTTTCCTCAGTCATCACTGTCTTTTCTAAAGGTTTCTCCCATCCTATATAACAGGTAATCTAATCTAGAACTGCCATATATAGAATAATGAAGTTGAACAATGCCTCTTCTGACATGATATACAATTTTCCCTTAAATACCAAATCTACAGCCTAAACCAATGTATTTTTCTATCTAAAACAACATTTTACTGGCTGAGACAACCAAACATTAAATTGTAATGTGCATGGAATAATGGAAATATACTTTTTTTTTATATCAGCATTATATAATCAGTGGCCTTGGGAGTTATTTCTCTATTTACAATGATATGCACGCAACCTTGAGTATTAAAGGTAGCAGTGGGGGGGATAAATCGTACATATTACGTAAAACCATTCAGCCCTTACCTTGCACGTCATCATGTCGCTGACTCTCTGCTGCATGGACTGCCCGGCTTTGGGTCTGACCAGGAGGTAGAGGGCTTTGACCTCGGGACAAGACCTCAGCAGCTTTTCCACCAGCACTTTTCCCATGAAGCCTGTGGCTCCTGTGATGAGCACGTTCTTGCCAGCGTAGTACTCAGCTATGGACGCCATTCTGCTGCCTGCTGTGCCACTGCAGATGTCTGTCAGTCTGGTCTGTTCGTCTGTTGCCTGCTCTCCTAATCTGTCGAGGTGCCGGCCTTCAGACAGCTCCTGCAGGGAGAAGAGGAGGATATGAATGTGGAGGGCTGGCAGCCAAATAGTTTGAATACCGTATCAGGAAGTACTTGTGAAGCTTGTGTGTGAATACATACACATGGTGAGTTTAAGTCATGAAGCGGTTCTGGGAGAAGCTAAAACTGAACTGTAAATCACACTAGTGTGATGGCAATGTTGTAAGAAGGAAAAAAGTCTCCATGAATGTTGAGACTTTTAAAATTGATTCAGTTTGATATATTTTGGGAGGAAAATAAACACATTTGAAACAAATTCAGAATTGGTGGTGTCATCTCTCTGGTCTGACCTTCAAAGTGCCAGCAGAAACACGCAACTAGTATGCAAATTACATGAATATTCATACAGGCAGATGAGGAGAGGGCAATGTTCAGGGGCAATCTGCCTGTGTGTGACTGTGTTTGTTGAGTGCACAGGAAAAGGCTGTGTTTTGGAGGTGAAGTTACATTTATAAGCTGCAACCACATATTATTCTGATTAATTATCTGGGAAATCACCACCATTTCATTTTTATTTTATAAGTCAGAGTCCCAGCAGTGCACAAACTGCTTGTTTTGCCCAAACATTTCCACACACACACACATAGGCTCTACATCTCTTCCCTCCACAATCACAAACTCAAAACACAGCAGCACAGGATGTCCAACTACAATCAACTGATAATATATCTGCTCCCAAAGTTACACCAAGAACACTTTAACCTTGTTTTGGAGACGCTGCACCACTGATACCTGCATATGGTTTTGTCTTTGTAATCCCCCCCCGTTACACAAGGTCTTAGTGGTGCGTGAGGAGAGTTTCAGAACGCAGCCTGTTGTGTTGATTTAGGGTTTGTCCTTGCGTGATGAGATTTACTTGTCGACAGGTCTAAAATCAACCTTAGCTGGAAGCCCTGATGGTTTAGCCACAACATTTACACAACAATCTCAACCCACTGAAACACAGTCAAAATGAAGAATGACTTAAATACACCTGCTGCACCCTGCTAAGACACACATTTACCCAAGATAAAGTGACCTACACTTGCCCTCTTTGTCATTCTTAAATTAGTTTGACGCGTTTCTGGATGTCCAGTCGCCCTCGTTCTATGGCAACTTAATTGGATCAATTGCTGCTCTAATGGTGGTGGTGTAATGGACTGTGTCTGCTTATTTGGGCGAACTCAATACAATAAATTTGCGTCTGCTGATTTAGCAGTGGCAGGCGGCCAGGTCCTACAGGTTCCTGATTATAGGACAGAGGCACCAGATAGAGTCTGATGTGGTTTCTGATATTCAGAGGGATCAGCTAATGGTCATCAGCTTAGGTACTGACCCTGCTCCTAGTGTTCATCAGCTGGTCATTGAGTGTCTGGAGGCAACAGTTGGCACTTCAGTGAGCAGATTTCATTTTCCATCATATACACATATATACACACACGGTTTCCATTTAGCCCCGGTAGTGCTGCCATGATGATAGTTTCGGTTTTATGTGCCCAGGTTCTCAAAACCAGTGGACAAATTAAATTCTTTCCCAAAGGAGACATTGCTGACTTATTTGTCAATGTCTCAGTTAATCACAGACCTCACTACCCTCTGACCGCTAGGGCTGCAACTAACGATTACTTACATTATTGATTATTAGTGGAGAAACTAATCTTTTGGGCTTTAAAAACAGTCCAATGTTACACCTTCAAATGTCTTGTTTTGTCTGACTAACAGTGTAAAACCAAAAAGATAGCTAATTTGCTGCTTTGTTGGTCATAAATTACAGTAAATACTGTAAAACCATCAAATGTTTGGCAAAAAAAAAAAAACATACAAATGTCTTGATTTTCAACAGTGTTTGTTGGGTTTGATTCATTTAAGTCCAATATAATCTAATGTATTTCACTGTAACTGCCCTCAGTAGAAAAGGTTGAGACAACAATACTACAGCAGGCATTTATAGGCACTTAAGGAAATGAGCGAGTGCAATGGAAAGTTTATAGCTGCAGAAAAGCCTCCTGTATCAAAATGAGTACTGAACGAACAAGCGTGTGGCTGCTTTATCATAGTCACTATTGCGCCCTCAAGTCATAAGACTGCGCTTCAGACAAAAAGCCAAGAATGTTTCCCATCAAGTCTTAAAAGCAGTTAAACAATGCACTCAATAACGCCACTACACGTGTGGTTCCACCAGTTTCTGTGGTGGCAATATTAAAATAAATTAAAATATATGCTTTAAGACTCAGTTTGTGACCTTGAGAGACCAAAAAGCCTCTTTGGTTTGTGGCAAAAACCCCCTTTAAAAGCAGCGCAGCTTATCTGTAACTTGGACTTTTACAGTGTGAGACTTTGTCCTTGCTCCCTTTGGACAGCTAACTGACAATAAGTGACAGCAATCTGAGCTGTCATGTGTCTTCAGCAGTGTTTTTCTGTGTGGCTGTCTCTCTGATAGAAAGCATCGTGTTGGATGTGTGCGCTAAGAGCTCACAACCACGCTGCCAATGTTGCTGTTCATTTGTGTGCAACCATGACAACGATGCGCCGAAGTCATCACAGGCCTCTTAAAGACTGGATGACAGCTTCCTGTCTCTGGTTGGCATCATTCTCTGCTCCTAACCAATCACGGGAGCAGGGTGGCAGACATGGCACATTTAGGCCCATCTAACGTTTGCCAACTGGCCTGCTAAAAAGAAAAGAAAAGAAAAAAAAAAAAAGAAAAAAGAAAAAAAAAGGCTAATGGGATTCCTGCTTGTAAAATTTTGCACTTGGCAACAATAGTACCACATTTAGCCAAGACAGACAAGCTTGATCAGCACTTCTAGTGATTCACTGGAGCTGTGATTTGTACACACGATGAGTGGCCCCCCCCTTATTTCATCCTCTCTCCTGGGCTGCAGATTCCCGGCATGTCTGCCCAAAGACGGAGGACGGAAACCAAATCCTCCTGAGCCAAATGTGGCCCAGATAACAAAACAATCTTGTATTTACTTGCTTTCCTTCCATTCTGCCGTCTGCACATGCAATATTGAATTACACACACACACACACAGAAAGATCTGTGTGTTTGATTTATTCTTCTACTTGTTTGCAGTGGAAAAGAGGAGTCACAGAAACCCAGGCCTGGGTTTCAGGCAAAGAACCAAAGTCTACTGAGCTTTAAATTTACATAAATTCTGATTATTTTAATCCTTTTTTTCCTGGATTCATAACTTACAAACAAGGTATTATCTGTATATTTACTCCTCTGTATGCACAAATCAAAATAAGAAGGTCAGTCTACTGAGGCCCCTGACATTCCAGCTTTGTGCTTCACAGAGATTCCCTGTGGACACAAGGACAAGGGCACGGGGGGTGAAAGTCACTACAGATTAACGCTTGACAATGGAAATGTTCCTGCAGCTGGAAGAGTGCGCGCATCTCAGATTCGACACTCAAACACACACACACACACACACACACGCTACTGC